TGAAAAAAAACTCCTCGGAAAAAGTTAAAAATGATTGGATTAATTTTACAGGAGAAAAAACCCCTCTTTAAAAATAGTAACAGAAAAAAGCGAGCAGGACTGGCCTGTAGGTGGCGGAATATAACGGAATGTTTTCGGTCATCGTCAGGGTATCAATAAATGTCCGCCTTGATGGGTACGAATGTGGGTCAGACAGAACTGCCTTGCAAATGGCATTGTATACGGGATTCACAGTTGAGATCGTCTGGGCCGGATTGGTACGCCGCGTCAAAGAGGCCAGACGAGAGGAACCAAGATGCGATCGGCCACAGCACGCTTCGAGCTCAGCCGAGCAGTGAGGAAGGAAGGTACGACCGAACTACTAGTAGACAGTGAATACTGAGGGTTCCGCCCTGAGCGTCGACAGACCGCATGAGGTCGGAATGCGGGAGATGACATCAAAAACCGCGAAAATTGTCACTATGGGGGGAAGGATAGCGATGGATTTAGAAACCAATTAAAAACAGGGGTTTCTAATGATATAATTAAGAGTTACCACTTAATCTACCACTAAATCCCAGGAGGACCCTTCTCGAAGTCAAGAATCTGAGTGTTCGGGAATGAGACCGTTAACAGTGCCTTTATGCTTTCCGGTGTAAGATGGTTGCGTAATTTCGACTTGAATATCAGTAACCTAGGCGATAATCTAATTTCAGGCGGAAGATTATTCCAAAGGAATCCATATTTGGAAGCGAAGAAGAGGGAGCGCTTAGATGTAGTACAAAGAGGCGGCGGAATCACCATGCGGGAGTTGCGCGTGGCATAAAAGCCACCATCAACTATATTTTTATCCCTTTAGCTCAGGAGTGTTTTTTTACTGCCGGTCGGATTTATGTTTAAACGCTTCCCTTGACAATGCCTGTAAACTGGCATTAAATAAAAATTTATTTATTTATTTGCCGGTTGTCAGTCTATCTGGCCAGCTGCTAAGGGGCGGTCGCACAGTTCGTTCGTGTTTTTCAGGAGGCTTGCCTTGGTTATCTGGACTACGAGCTAAAAAGGTTGACTGTATACCAGGATTAAAAAACATTCAATGGTAAGACACAATCAAAGCTGTCAAAATAATATTGAATCATGTACCATATTGTTCATGTGAATATGACATTATAGGAGTACTGGTCGACTGTTCTGCAGAATCCAATATAGTTGTACATATGTTTAATATTCCTTGCTTGCACAACTTATAGTCAGTTTAAGTCAGTTTATTAAGGGAATGAGGCTTTCGCCCTTGAGCTCCCTAATTATATCGATAAGCAGAAATAAAGTCATCAATTACATTAGCAAATGCGAAACGTTAAGAAGTTAGCGGTAACTGTGAGCCAGGCGCAAACTGCCGCCGCTAA